TGATCCACCAGTGCTTGCAGCACTATTGAAAAGTACCCCTTGCGGTTTATGTACTCGCCAGCTTGGTGCTCCGGTGCCAAGATAGGGATATGGGTTCCGCCTATGGCCCCAACACAGTTAGGGAATCCCATTGCAGCAAAGCCATCCACTATGACCTGCACATTTCCCAGGGTCACTGCCCTTGATATCAGCAGATCTTTGATTGCGTTGACTACTTGCATCACAGCAGCCCCCACAGTAGATTTGCCCACTCCAAATTGATTCCCGACTGACCGGTAGCTGTCTGGCATTGCAAGCTTCCACAGGGCTATTGCCACTTGCTTCTCAACTGTGAGGGCTGCTCTCATCTTGGTATTCTTGCACCTCAGGGCAGGGGAAAGCAAGTCACAAAGTTCCATGAAAGTGCCCTTACGCATGCAAAAGTTTCGCAGCCACTGGGAATCGTCCCAGACCTGCAACACTATGCAGTCCCACCAGTCTGTGCTTGTTTCCCGAGCCCAGAATCGGCGTTCCATGGCATGAACCTGCCCCATTAGCACCTTGATGCCCACATTTCCGGGGCCCATGCTTTGAGAGAAGTCTGTGTCCATGTCCCCATCACTCACGTCACCACGTTGACGTCGCATACTCGCCCGGTGTCGCTTTGCCAGATTATGGTGCTGCATATGCTGCTGGATAATGCGCGTGGTGTTTAATGTGCTCCTAACTGCCAAAGTGATCTCAGCGGGCTCCATGCTTGCCGTGGTATGGCGTCTGCACAGAAAAAAGGCGTGGAACGATTGTCTGCCGTTGCCCTGACGGAGGGAGGGGCGACTAACAACATGATTTACAGGGTTAGCATACAGGGAATTAAAATCAACAAAGGGGGTGGCTTTGCAAAAAACTGAATGGCCCCCTCAAGGATAGAACTCAAAACCTCAAGGACAGAACACAAAACTGGGTTTAGCAGGCCGTTGATTTCACAGAGGGAAGGAGGGAGGGAGGAGAAAATGAATACAAAACAAATCTGGTCTATTTCTTGTTTTGAGCCACTTCAGCTATCTTTATACATCTTGCTGGCAGCAGACTGTGCAGTACAACCGCTAGCCATCATCATCTCCTGGGTGCTCAGCAGAAGACAGTGCAGTATGACGACTAGCCATCATCTTCTGCTGGATGGAGGTTAAAACACAGTGCACTGCTGGTAGGACTGAATCGCCACGAGTCGAAACAAGGGAAATGACCTGGCTGAGTCACTCGCATGTTTGCCCAGGTGCCCGATTAAAAGAGTGCCCAGGACTACGTCGATGACGGCTACCACTGCACTGTCTGCTGCCAAAGGCAATTTGCTGCTGTGTAGCAATGCAGTACCACGCCTACCAGCACCCTGCAGACATACGTTGATGGTTAGCTGAGCGGGCTCCATGCTTGCCGTGGTATGGCATCTGCACAGGTAACTCAAGAAAAAAGGCGCAAAACGATTGTCTGCCCTTGCTTTCACAGAGGGAGGGAGGGAACGGGGGCCTGACGATACGTACCCAGAACCACCCACGACAATGTTTTAGCCCCATCAGGCACTGGGATTTCTACCCAGAATTCAAATGGGCGGCGGAGACTGAGGGAACTGTGGGATAGCCACCCACAGTGCAACGCTCCGGAAGTTGACGGTTGCCTCGGTACTGTGGACACACTCCGCTGACTACATGCACTTAGAGCACTTGTGTGGAGACACACACAATCAACTGTATAAAACCGCTTTCTACAAAACCGACTTCTATAAATCCGACCTAATTTTGTAGTGTAGACATACCCCAAGTCACATCAACTCTCTGTGCCTCAGTTTTACCAACTGAAAAGTGGGAGTAATGATATTTACAATCCTTTGTAAAGGACACAGAGCTACAGATGAAAAGATCTATATAAGAGAGTATTATCATCACCTCTATTTTTTGTTAATGTAAGAAATAAAACCCAACTCTTGACTTCTAATATTAAAATCTCTTGGAAGGAGAACTCCACTGTAACATGAAAGGTATTCCAACAGCTATATCTATTTCAAAATGAGTGTGTCCCCCTACACAATTTTAACTGTCTAATCAGTAACTAAAAAAATAAACCCCCTGACAATCAAGCAGCAATTAAAAACAAACAAAAAAAGAAGTAATCAATTCGGCATAAAATAAATAGGAAGCTAGCATTTTGACAATTTTTTGAAATTATGTAAGATTGAGAAAATTCAGAGACTATTAGAAACTTTCTGGAAAACCCTCTACTATAAACCAAAACCATTTTTTTGCTAAGGAATTTACCTCTAGCTAATTTGAAATTCTCTGATTTTCCTTTCCCCCCACCCAAAATGGGAAATTGATTTATCACTCCCAAATTACCTCAGGGGAGAGAGCCTCCTCTTGGCGAGCACTACAATGCCCCATCAATAAAACAGTAGCCCTAACCTTACTCCAAGGTAACAGCCCCAGTTACTGAAACAATGACAGGTGTTTCTAAAACTTCTGGAAATTCCTTCCTTATTTTATTATATTACACTTAGAGATATATTTTACACATATAAATTGTATATATTTGTTCTTATCTGTGAAAATATATATGGTATTACAAGAAATTCCTGCAATTTCCCTGTAACAGCCTTACCCTTAGTGCCACTTCTTGCAAAAATTTCTTGTAATACCATAAATATTTTCACAGATAAGAACAAATATATACAGGCATCATTGTGCACATTGCTCTAAAACCTTAGGGTCAGATTGTGCAAGGTGCCAAGTGACCTCAGGTCCCACTGAAGTTAATGAAAATTGAGGGCACTCAGAATGTTGCAGATAGCAATTATCAAGCTTGGGTCTTTAAAGAGGAAATAATATTGAAAGTATTCAGAGGAACAGCCGTGTTAGTCTGTATTCGCAAAAAGAAAAGGAGTACTTGTGGCACCTTAGAGACTAACCAATTTATTTGAGCATGAGCTTTCGTGAGCTACAGCTCACTTCATCAGATGTTTACCGTGGAAACTGCAGCAGACTTTATATACACACAGAGAATATGAAACAATACCTCCTCCCACCCCACTGTCCTGCTGGTAATAGCTTATCTAAAGTGATCAACAGGTGGGCCATTTCCAGCACAAATCCAGGTTTTCTCACCCTCCACCCCCCCACACAAATTCACTCTCCTGCTGGTGCTACCCATCCAAAGTGACAACTCTTTACATAGTCAAGTCGGGCTATTTCCTGCATAGATCCAGGTTTTCTCACATCCCCCCCACCCCCATACACACACAAACTCACTCTCCTGCTGCTAATAGCTCATCTAAACTGACCACTCTCCAAGTTTAAAGCCCTGCATTGTGCCCACATATCTATTCAGGGGACACCATCACAGGGCCTAATAACATCAGCCACACTATCAGAGGCTGGTGTCACCTGCACATCCACCAATGTGATAGTATGCCATCATGTGCCAGCAATGCCCCTCTGCCATGTACATTGGTCAAACTGGACAGTCTCCGTGAAAAGAATAAATGGACACAAATCAGATGTCAAGAATTATAACATTCATAAACCAGTCGGAGAACACTTCAATCTCTCTGGTCACGCAATCACAGACATGAAGGTCGCTATCTTAAAACAAAAAAACTTCAAATCCAGACTCCAGCGAGAAACTGCTGAATTGGAATTCATTTGCAAATTGGATACTATTAATTTAGGCTTAAATAGAGACTGGGAGTGGCTAAGTCATTATGCAAGGTAGCCTGTTTCCTCTTGTTTTTTCCTACCCCCCCCCCCCCCAGATGTTCTGGTTTAACTTGGATTTAAACTTGGAGAGTGGTCAGTTTAGATGAGCTATTAGCAGCAGGAGAGTGAGTTTGTGTGTGTATGGGGGTGGGGGGGATGTGAGAAAACCTGGATCTATGCAGGAAATAGCCCGACTTGACTATGTAAAGAGTTGTCACTTTGGATGGGCTAGCACCAGCAGGAGAGTGAATTTGTGTGGGGGGGTGGAGGGTGAGAAAACCTGGATTTGTGCTGGAAATGGCCCACCTGTTGATCACTTTAGATAAGCTATTACCAGCAGGACAGTGGGGTGGGAGGAGGTATTGTTTCATATTCTCTGTGTGTATATAAAGTCTGCTGCAGTTTTCCACGGTAAACATCTGATGAAGTGAGCTGTAGCTCACGAAAGCTCATGCTCAAATAAATTGGTTAGTCTCTAAGGTGCCACAAGTACTCCTTTTCTTTTTGCGAATATTGAAAGTAGTTTACAATTCTGGCACTTAAATGAGAAGTTCAGGAGAAAAGTAAACAGTTTTCAAAATCTCAGAACTTCTACAAAAAGGCTAAATTTTACCCATAATTTTAAAACTGGAAAGAGGTAATAACCATCATTTTACTTAATTCTGTCCTTAAGAGGAAGGAAAAGAGGAATGAGGATGAAAATACCCTTCATAATCATCAGATTCCCAATTCTGACTTAAGTCCTATATCTGTATAAGAATCTAAAGAACTAACCAGCGGCCACAGCTACTAGAATCTCAGCTGAATGATGTAACATACCAACAACACCAACTGACTGTATGTACCCTGTTCCTCAGGTTCATAGGATCTTTCTTACCATCCCTCGTGCGAATGGCACATGCAGCGAATATGCAGCAAGATCTGTGCCACAAACAAACTGGGCCCGCCCAGCCAGCTGGACCAAACCTTGCAGTGCTGCCCCTAGAAACAGAGTCATAGCCAGCAGTACTTCTTCCTGAGCCACCTTATTACTATTCCTTGCTCATTTCAGCAGACACAGTGCTCAGAATTAGCAGCCATTACTGATTTCAGAAGAGATTCTCAATGCATCCGACATCTTGCAGTGAAAACTAGGAGTGTGAAAGGAAACAGCCCACACAGAAATGTAACCCAAGAGAGACTCTGCAAGTGGGTGGCAATTCAGGCAGCAGCTGTATCATGCCTAAAAAAGATCTGTCGTGCACAGTGGCTGCTTGCTAGTGTAGGTGAACAGGTTACCTGAATGAGGTTGTTTGTTAGTCGAATGAGGCTCAGCGTTACAGAAGATTCCTTCAGGATGCTGCTGTCTGATGACAGTGAGCGATCAATCCCCATGAGCAGCTGTGTTACTGTAGCAACCCACTCTTCTTTAGCAGACGCTACTGTCAGGTTAATCATCTGCTGAATTGCTTCGTTCAAGGCAACTTCAGAGCATTCAAAACATTGCCTGTAATCCTTCTGTTTCAGCAGGGAATCCTAGTGAATGTTAACATGAAAAAAATTTTTATATGGATCTAATGTTTATTTCAAAGCATAAAAGCACAATAAAGGGGAAAGGGGAATGGAAGAAGGTACACAGTTAGCAGCTAATGTTTACTCTACTGAGAATCCAGTATGAAGTTTCTAAATGTGGCATTAAAATGGACAATACAAGAGACCCCAGAACCCATGCTCCTCAACTGAGTGTCATCAGGGAAGCAACACTGAGTCCCATTCTCTGAATACAAAGAGACTCTACATGAGCCTATTTTGCAGGGAAGAGGCAGCAATGAGCCTCTTGCTCTCTAGCCATATGCTGCTGTGTATGGAGGTTCAACAGAATCAGAGTTTGAGTCACTGTGGAGCCATGCTACTATTTTATTGCTGGTTTAGAAAACAAGCTATGTTTCTACAATGATAAAGGCTACAATGATAAAGGTTACAATGCCCAACGTATTTTTATGATCCCCAGCTCTAAGATTCTTTCTTGTTGAGTATGGAAAACAAGATCTGATGTCCCACGATCACAACAAAATAGGAATGTGGACGAAAAGCAACTGGCCCAGGCTCACTCTAGTCAAACTAGCAGTAAAAATAGCCAGCACAGAGAAAGACTAAGGAACTGACAGACTGCATCCTGCTCCCTCAGCAGAGGACATCTGTCCCTTAATTGTCATGGTAGTGCATAATCTTTTGATCTTGCTAGACTAATCTCCTATCCTGTACTTCCTGATTGCAGCAGCGATCAATAACTTTTTTAAAAAAAAAATCTATGGCTGGGCAATATCTGGCACCCTTTTCTGTTAGATAAGGATCTTGCCATGGTGATCTAAGCTTTTATCACCTCTAGGTTGGACTCTTGTAATATCCTGTGAAGCCACCCTGGAGGTTACAGCTGGTGCAGCAGCCTGACTATGAAGCAGGACAGACTAATGAGAAGTTATCACACCAGTGCTTCTTGCCTCACACCCAGTTGGCTAACAACTTTCAGGTGCATAGGATGCTTGGGAGCCACCATATAAATAGTCAAGGGCAACAAAAACTCCAAGTCCTAGTAGCAGGCCATTGGTAAAGTGGGTTCATCCATAATAAACCTCTAAAACTGATCCAAGTTCACTCAAGTTTATATAGTCTTAAAGTTTTCAAACTAGACTGAACCTGGATCAGTTTTAGAGGTTTGGGTGAATCCACTCTCTCTCTCTCTACACATATATAGAGAGTGGATTCACACACACACACACTGGCCCCATGTTTTGCTTCTTAAATGGAGTCAACGCAATTCATCATTAACACTAACCCTCCAATTCTTTTTTATGTTGCTCTTGGAAATAAAGCAGATGCAGGGCTTTCAAAACCTCACTAAACAGCATTTTTTAAAGAAACATAACAAACCTGCAGCAGAAGTAACTGTGTTGGTCTCTCTGGTATAGATATAACAAATTCCAGATGTTTAGCCCTACCATATCCACTAAAGCACAAGGTTGGGCGAAGCAGATGCACCACTGCCTTGTAATCCCCTGCCTCATACAGTCGCTGGATCTCCTCCAAAGATTGGCATCTCTCCAGAGACTTGAGGTTCTTGTCAATCTGCAAAAGTCACAAATAGTGCAATCCAACCTACATTTCACCTTCATGTGCAAATGACTGACTTTTCTTATGAACAACAAAACTATAGCTGTAGGATGTGTAAAATTTACAGCACTGTAAGGAAGAGAAACGACAAGGAAGAAAGTAGACAAGCTTCCAACCATTATCACTTACCCCAACTTGTATTTAATTTTTTTAAAAATTAGTACTATCGTTTTTTGTATTTAAGCCATAAATCTCAAAACCTCACATTTTTTCTGATGAACTATGAGAAAGAGCAATCATCAGATGGCATTGCCTGCGTTTGAAGCCCTCCCCCATAAGCAGTAACAGAAAAACAACAACGATGTCTAATTTTTTATTTATAAATTCATTTGCATGTTTTACTGGAAAATTCTGACTGCTGAAGGCAAGAGTTCATTTGAACAGTGAAATTAAAGCATAAGAAACCCTCTGAAACAAAGCTCTAGTCTAATGACTAACAGCTGTATATGCAGCACCCTGATAGCAATATTTTTCATTCTATTTATTAAGCAAGACTGAATTGTGTAGGGACCAGTAATAGATAAAGAAAGCATTTAACTGAAAAAGGGAAGGATGGTTTTCAAATCAATTAACTATAAAAACACAATCATTATTGGTTTTAAACTGGTTTGTAAAAATATTCTTCACTTTAAGACAGCTGCTACTGATGTTATACATGCTACTTTTCCATCAGGGCAAGTGCTAGTAATTTTGAAATGAATCTTGGCAGCTACGGCATTGTTTCTGAGCACTGTTGATACAGAAGCCGCACTAGTTTTTTTTTGTTTGTTTTTAAATCATAAAACGTGTTTTTTATCCCCAAAGGGAACGTGTCCCTTAGCATCTTTATCTCAGATTCCCTCCAGAATTATCACATTACAGCCCAAAGGAAAACGGAATGTGCACAAGAAAATGGCGCACACATATAAAATCTCTAGTTTCTCACAAGACTTAGCTCTTCTTTAGAAATGTCTCAAAACCACACTAAGTAGACTGGAATCCTCAATTTTGGATGAACTTAGAAACAGAAAAAACCCAAACAAACAAACAAACAAACAAACTGATCCCTACCTCTTCTAGAGAAACAACAGAATCAACATGGAGGTTAGGTAATCGGATCACAATGCTGTGTTCATTGCCAGCTTTGGCTTGGAGTGCAGTGGAACTCTGCAGCATTTCAGTGCAGATGTCATAATTCTCCAATGCCTGCTCCATGTCACCCTGTGGAAACAGTTTGAGGAAATCACACAATGCTACCTGAGATTCTTCAAAAGCAGCTAGGCAATGTTGAATCACTAACTCTGTGAGTACACTGTCAGTGAGAGATAGGCAAATTATTTGGGAGGGTACTTAACTAATCAGAATATCAACCAAAAGAGTCATCACCAACAGTTTACCAGTCTATTCTACCCGCTACCTTCATCACCACTGGGGGGAAAAGGGGAGGAAACCGGACATTAGGTATTCAAGTTACATAACAGGAAAATTTATTTGTATAAATTGACTAACATTCCCTTTCTCTGAAAGTGAAGGGAGGCAGATTAAATCCAGAAGTAAGTCTTCCTTTTATGCTGACCAGAACCATAAATTTGGGTAACATTACTGAGATGTACAGCTAACTAGTTAAGAGAAAGTAAAACTGTGAACAACCCACTTTGTTCATCTTAAACAGATTTGAGTTTTCCTAAAAGGGAGGGATCAGGACAGGAAGAGAGGCTGTAGAGGGAGAAAATATAACTCACTAAAGCTGAAGAGATACAGCACTAGCCATAAAGACAGTTTGTTTAATAAAGGTGATCAACACATTTTGACTGGACAACCTGCATTCAGTTTAAGCAGAGCTGGTTCTGATTCCAAACGTATATTTATGTTTCAGATTATCCTTCTACTTCCATCTTTGTTTTTTTTCATTGAAATATCTAGATCTATTGTGAAACAGAGGAGTTACATGTGTGTCATAATCATAAAAATTTTATCTTTCAGTCTAGTCTATATGTTTCTTTGTTACTGGGACTGTGCAGTGACAGTTGATTTTGAATGGTCTTCACCTGAAAAAGGAATTAGAAGATCCTTTTAACTTAAAGAAATTTTATTTTTGAGTGAAAATAAAATGACTTAAAGGAGTCTCTACTTCAGTTGTATAAAATGATTAAACATACTTCATAAATGAGAAGAAGGTTCTGTCCCCACTAATTTTTCTATGAACAATCCAGTTTTTCATTAGATGGATTTCTTAAAGAAGGATTTTGAGATATGAAAATAAAAAGGAAATGAATTACTCAGTGTGTGTATATGAAATCAACTGATATAGTACTTTATCAATTGAAGATTAAAGTTTGATTAGTCAAACCCACATTTTTTCTTCTCAAAAGTTTAGACTTAAGTACAGACAATCTGTAAACATTTTCTTCGCTGCCTTAAGAAACCGATGCTTGAAATAAAATAATGATGAAGTCTGGGATCCAATAAATAACTTTTCTTTGGACTGTTTACTTGAGCAATCGGTCTAGGACAAACTGCTTGAAAATCTGTACATGAAATGAATAACTGTTGTCAACAGAAGGATCAAGCTCCATTGGAAGAAAAGAATCAATCACAATATATAAATGTTGACTCAATGCACAGTTGCATTTTGGACATGCTATTTGGGCTTCTATTACAGATTCTACGAGCTAGAATCCAGGCTTCAGTCTGTTAGTGAATTTGTGTCTTGCAGCTGTTCATTATAATTCCAGCTGAAATTTATTTCTGGGGACAGAAGACAAACTACTTTAAACACTTGTATGTACCAAAATGACTGAATCCTGGTACAATGCGTAAGGATTTTGGCCAGATCCTTTGCATCTAATTACTGAACGTTCATAGGGACAGTTAATGAAACTAAATAAAATAGACAAATGTAACCTCTACTTTGTCTTCAAAGAGGTCAAGCTATTCCTGAATTACTTGACTCCAATGTGTTGATGACTTAACATAGACCCACCACTTCAACTGCTTATAATAATTCTTAAGTCCATTTGTTTAAAAACTGTGCTAAGTGTGAAAAATTCTATTTGTTGAACTCAAAATGAAAACAAACCTGCAGTGCTAGAAAGCGAGCCTTCAGCCAATACACTCGAGCCACAAACTCCAGCCAACCTTCCTCAAACAGATCTCGCTGGGAGGATGCAAATGAGAGCTGCAACAAGTCCCCCAGAAAATGGGATCCTGGGAAATCAGGACCAAACTTTCCGTTCACAGTGGCAGAAGGGCAATTTCGAGGGGAAACTGTAAATTAATTTATTACAGTTTAGTATAAAATCACATTCTCCCTACGCAAACAGTTCCATGTGCAGCAGCTGCAAACACTCAGCTCACCCTTCTAACACAAACACTAATAAAAAAAAAGATGAACTGTTGTACACATCCATTGATCAGACCTACATCTGGAGAAGTAACAGCTCAGTATTCTAATAAATGATTCACAAAATTTCTTACAAGTTTAATTTACACTGTAAGAATAGGCTAGCAGAGAAAAACCAATTCTCACCTGTAGAGCTCTTCCCTTTCGTCAGCAACCATTGGTCAAGTTGTAATTCCATGCAAGACAGACTCATCAGCATCATATCCTACAATGAAGGTATGAAAAGGTCAGGGAAGAATACAAAGAACCTTGTTTGGAAAGTAAAAAGAAGTTAACAAATCACTTGAAAGGAAGCTTTCTAATTAATCCTCTTTTGTGATTTCCATTTCCAACCTACACCCATCGTGGCTTTCTTCTGTCTAAGGAAAGGAGGTTGCCCTCTTTCTATGATGCTCAGTAGGATTAAAGAGACTCCCCTGGCCTTTTACAACTGGAAAAAGGAATGAAAAAAGTCTGTTTATGAGAAGATAAGACGATCTAGTGGGGAAGAAGATAAGAAGGGAACAGTTGGCCCAGTCTTGAAAAAGAGCAACATCCTCAACCTAAAATATAACCATTTTAAGTTGCTTCATCATTAATACCTTATGTTAGAACATCTGAAAAAAAACATCAAAAGGCTGAGATGAATACTCAAGAAATTGTAGGAATCAAGGAGAACGAACACATATGCTAGTTTTGCCAGCTCATTAATGCTTTCTGCATAAAGATGGGTGGATAAAAAAAAAAACAAACTGGATATGAGTTGTTCCTAGTAACACTGGATGTTCTGTTACAGCTCTTACAGATGTGGTTGTGTGGATTAAAGAGAAAATTATTTTTACATTTTTTCCACAGTAACCAGGGTTGTAACTGCAGCTCCATCTGAAGAGGGTGAAGGCTCCTGACATGGGTTCAAAAATCTCTGTACCCAAAAATCTTATGGTCTGTGCAGCACTGTTGATTGGCTAAAAAAAAAAAAAAAAAAAAAAAAAAAACCAACCCCCCCCACAACTTGAGTGCACTGCAGTTGGCACTGTTGTTTCTGCCATTAAATTGCTACGTCCTACAGTACTTACACATAATTCGATCTTTCACTCTGTGTCTGGAGCTGCCTCCTGCATCTCAAATGGTGCACACACAGCTTTGTGTTCTGCTTTTAAGGGTTGAGCTGAGGCTGCAGCACATTCAAGACACACAGAGCAATATACGGTGGATGTGGTAAATTAAGAAGCTCAAAAAATAGAGCGTTTCCTTACCTTGATGTGCTGGTTGCTACAGTCCCTCAGTAACGGGTTGGGCAAATTACTACTATGCTTTCTCCAGCTATTGTAGATACTAAGGACCACCTCAGACAAGCCAGGTGGCCACTTCACCAGGAACTTCTGGCTGATTACTTTCAGATATCTCATCATCAGTTCTAGGATGCCACCATTGTTCAGGTTATCCAATAGGAATTCATGAACATCCTGCTTCTCTGGAAAGCAGATGAGCACAAAGTCTGAGACCTGTTTGTTGAAACTAACCACATTTAATTCCTTGCCTCGCTTCTGAGAATACTACTTTTAATGCTTTGTGACATTTAGCATACATCTCGCATAAAGAACACCCATAACACCTTTATGACACAGTGGTTCTCCTTTTGCAGGAGTAGCCTTGAATTTATGCAGAATAAAGTGACTACACTGAAATGGTTAAATGAGATCATGCACACAACACAGATCACACAGAGTAAATAAACAGCCCAATGAAAACAAAAATAATTTATTAATACAGTGAAGCTCAGTCAACTGATGTATTAAAATAAATCCTTTAAAATAACATTCTTTTGTGCACAAAAAGAAAAAAAAACAGAAGTGGGAGTAAAAAAGCAGACATAAGGGAAAAAAGAAAACAAGTAGAAAAATGGATATGCTGAAGTCCCTACCAGATTCCATGAATGTTGTAGAGTCAAATGACATTCTATGTGGTCCAATATGCTGGAAATTCTCTTGTTTGATCTCTGATTGCACCTCATAGTTATTGAAAGGATCATCCTCTTCCTCTGGATCCAGTTTCCGCAGCCTGGGTGAAAAGGGGTGAAAACAAGTAAAAGAACAGTACTTGAGAGAGTCTGAATATTATTTTCAATAACAAATAGCTTGCCGGGTGTAGGTGTTATGTATATCTTCACAATGGAAGTATCCTAGTTGGAGTTCATCATCAGAAATTTAAATTTATTCCCAGACTTCATCAGAGTAAAAAGCCTCAAGCATGCTATCCCTAAAAATGGAAAGAAACAGCCTACAGAAAAGAGCAAATCCTAGCAAATAAGCTTCAGAAACTGACAAGACTACTCCACAACATTTGGAATTGTTTTAAAAAAAAAAAAACAGTGTTATCAGCATTATTATTTTAAGTATCAGCAGATCCAAACCCTTTTAGCAATGCAACTTAACATTTTCCTTTCAGAAGGATCTTTGTTTTTGAAATCATCCCACTCAAATCAATAATCAATGTAAAAACAAATATGCCTTCGGATTTAATGAGAAACGCTGATCTGATTTGTTGACAATGACACTGGGGTCCATACAGACCCAATACAGTGTAAATCATACCCACTTCTTAACTATGCAAAAAAGTTTATGACTTGCTTCTGCTTCTTCTCTAGAAAAAACAGTGAGAGAAATAACCTACATGCGAATACCTGACAAACTTAAAAAAAAAGCATTTCTTTACTTTCAAGTTACTTTTCTCTATCAAGGCATAGATTCTAGAAGACTAGCTGTTTGACCTATAAAAACCCAGTTCTGAAACTGGAAAATATTCTAATTGCCTTGCTTCAAGAATAAGAAATGGATATGATGAAACTGATCATAAATCTGAACTTATTTTTAATTTTGCACATGAATGAATGTTGAGTGACTGGTTGTTGAAGAACATCCCTTCCAAACAGCTATTTTTACAGGAATTTAGTGTTGAAATTTTTGTAAACTAATGACAATGTCATCTCAATGCCCTTTTACCAGGATAAGACCATACCAACTTCCTCAAAAGTGGTCTCATCCAGATTTTTTTTTATATTTGGGGGGGGGGGGGTCATAGACTTAGTCGGTGTAATATGTAAAACACTGAATATTTTTAAAATTGCTGATCTAAACAGGACTTTTCCTAAAACTGAGGCTAAGGATGACCTCATTTGAACCTGATTGGATCAAGATGCATGGCTGCAAGGCAGGCCTCGCACATGTCTTGTTCAAAGACCTTGAGGGAGGCACTGTAAGACAGAGTAAGTAAAGTTTACAAACTGTAAGAATCAAGGATAAGGCCAAGAATTCTCATCTTCTGGGTTCCAAGACACCAGAGGAAAGACTGACATTCCAGAATCCTCAAGACTAAACAACTTGAGGAGAACAATTCATGACATCAATAATCAGGCCACTCCCACCTGGAAGGAGGCCCGCTAGTGAGAAGCACTTTGCCAGCAGAACATCATCGTTTAATTCCTTGACTACAGTTCCAGCTCCTACTAAGAGTGTCCAGAAGACTGTGAGAGCTGAAGGAGTTTGCAAATTCCGTTACCTTAATACATTATTTTTCCTTTTTCTGTTTTTATCTGTTATTCTTATTAGTTGGCAGATGACCCAGACAATTCAGACTTTTTATTTTTAGGATGTGGAAATGAAAAGTGTAGCTGTGTGCATGCATGTGTGTGAGAGCACCCATAACACCCAAGCAAGGAAGGCACCTGAAAGAAAAGTGCCTCAGATAAACAGTCCTAAATATTGTCTCATAAAAATTATCCATTAGAGTATATTCAATGTCTTGAAGTCTTAAGGGATTTGAGATTGTCATCCGTCATTTCTGGTCAAAGTTGACTACTTGTCCAATGTCTCTTGTTCTGTAGCAGTCTGTATTTTTATAATGTGTCTCATTTTTGGGAGTGGGAGGGGAAGGGGGTAAAGGTTAGCCACCACACAAGACTGAATTTTAAGGAGGAAAAGTTTGATAACTGGACCTGAGGTTGTACCCCAGATGTTAGACAATAATTCAGTTTCGATATTGAGATACCTAACCATTCAAATGAGAGAACTGATGGACTTTTGTCAAACTCTTTAGTTGTGACTTCTAACCAAATGGTATAGCCACCTCCTTAGAATGTATAAGGATTGGTTATATTTTGTATTAATCTGATGATTTAACTAAATTGATGATTTAATTCAATCCACCATTGAGATTAACTTGTTGCTTTATTGATTTTACAGTTTTATTTTTAATAGTTTTAATACAATTTATAAAAAGATACTGAGTCACATTTCTGTCAATAAGCAACATGAGTTCAGTACCTCTGAGGATCTGGGTGGATAACCAGCAGGTCAACAAAAAAGCCTGTGGTCCTCACACAATGACAACAACTCTCATTGCAAGTGAAGGTCTGCTGTACCTTGAAGGAAGAAACTTTACCAACAGCTCTTGAAAGTCAACTTTCTCCTCCTTTTTACACTTGGTGTTTCGGACTCGAGCAGACCGCCTTTTTGCAGTTTCACCACTATCTTCTGTGATTTTCCTCCGCTTCACCCCTTTCTTGGATTTATCACTAACAGTTGTGTCACCTAGAAAACAGAATCAAATGTTTTCAAAACTCAAATTGCCAAACAACACACAATGGATAATGTTGCTTAGTATCACGGTGATTTATGAAATATATTTTAAATTTACTTTATTCTATGGCAACATCAAGAACCCAGTTCTGTTCCTACTTAAGACAATGGCAAAATTCCTTTTAACTTAAAGGGGAACAGAATCATTTAAACAGCAGTCTGGTTAGTGACCAGGTTTCAAAGCTTATATTTGATGTTGGCCTTGTAGCCCCTTAAACAGAACCATATTTATCACTGATCAAACTACAGTTAGGCCTAAGTCATGTTTTGTTTCACAGAACAGTTACCATAAAAAAATAGCAAATATCAGATAGGAAGAGTCACAGTAGTAACTTGAGTCAAGGCAGATAGGGAACCCTACACTGTATTTCTACAGGACCAAACATGATGGGGAATCTGAGGACTGCCCTGACAACAAGCAGCATTATGATTTTACTATTTTTACACAAATCTACTCATTCTATTACAACGTGCAAAAATGACTGCATCTCTTCATTAAGAAATGCATAGCTCACATTCTAATTTTTCTTCTTTTAATTTGAATACAAAGTAAATTAAGTTTGATACTCATGACATTTTTGTATGCATGTAAATTCTGGGTCAGAACTAAGAAGCAGACTGCTTGAAAACCTGATTTTTTTTAAAATATACTTTCTTTTAATCTTCTAAGTTTCAGCACAATTTTGTGGTTTTTAAGGAAAACATAGGACTCTGGCTAGCGCTCTAACACCTGTAAATTCCTATAAACATCAACCAAAGACTGGTAGCCTTGTGAACAACAGCGATAGATAGGATAGATAGATATACACACGCACACCTCCCTACACAGTATATACCTTAGAACATCTGAGAATATGAATATCATCTTGCAAACAAATAAGTACATATGAAGGCAGAGAATTAAACAGGCCAAGCAGCTGATCTTATTTAATAGTAATAATATTTTTTTCTTTATGGCTCCTTCCATCTGACAGCCTCAGGACGCTTTACAAATATTAACAGATTAAGCCACATATCACCCAGGCATTATTATCCTTATATTACAGATGGGGAAACTGAGGCATGAGACAGCAGCACAGTCAAGAATAGAAGGGATTAAATACTACAGTGATGAGTGCTATAGAAAATCAATTATGGATAGAACTCAGAGCTAATCATTATCCAGTACCTCCTAGATCATTTAGACAGCTTTCTCTTTTTTAAAGTAATTGTTTTCCAGATTATCACAGCTTTATATGACTGAACTTTTCTTTTTCTGACTTGGAATATACGTACTTTGAAAATGCATTGGATCAGCTAGAAGACAGTTTAGAAAACACTCATTTCTAAAGACAACAGACATTTTCCAGTATCGTTTTTGTCTGCAAAGACAACAGTGTCATCTGGAATTGTAGACTAAAGTACCTTGCTCACCTATAGGCATTACTGGTTCCAGTAAATTCTCACTATGACCGGAAAAATTGGGTGTCATTGGAGTGTAAGTTAATAATGGGTCACTCATTGTAACCACTGGATTAGTGCTGACAGGATTGGGCTGGATAACACTGACAGGAGTAGAGGTAGGAGAAAGAATCAAGTGCTGGACTGGGTCTTGGTACTCTGAGAGGTCAATTCTCTTCCCCAGGCTAGGTCGAGGAGGCTCACATGTTGTCAGGTGATGATACATAGCAAGTAAACTTTCTCCTAGACACTTCCACCTGCATGTAAAAACACAAACACAAACATTTATTTTATCCATTTATTCATTAGCTTTTGCCACATAACCTTCTATATTACAGTTAAAAACTGCAGGATGTAGGAATTACAGTGAAGATGTTCTTCTATAGAAGGTTAGAATTACTGAGGGTACCAAAAGCGATTTTATCAGTGTAAGAGGAATAGATTCCTCATGGAGTCAAAATCTGTCACGCAACTAGAAAAGCTGGAGAATACGATTTTTGGCACCCTGTCCCCTAGAGATTTCAGTTCAGCAGCAAATGTCTCATGGGTCTTGCTTCCTATTTGGAACATACTGTTGAACCAAAGAGTAGGATTAACATTATCACAGTCATTAATTTTCCTGTTCCCAACAATGGCTTTAAGTATAATAGACAGAAAATGGAGCTCACGATATGCTTCACCCCAAGAGAAACCACTCATTGCAGAGGAAATTGCTGCACCTCAAAAACAAAAACATTAACCCAGTTTAATATGAATTTTCAGGTCTAGCATTATACTCAATGGGTAAGGGCAAGATTTTGTCAGCCTTTTATACAATTAGTAGTAACTTGGTCTGAAATTGGACTACTTGCAGAGAAAACTATTCAGTGCAAATAAGGGTGGCAGAAACAGGCCCTAAATAAGATCACAGAAGTCTCTAACACATGTATTTAAAACACACAATGTATTCTAACAGAATTCCTAGACTATCCAAATGCAGAATAGAACATTTTTGTAGAATAGTAATTAGTTTATAAATCCCCATTATCCAAATGGTAAAAATATTAAAAACATAAATTAAAAAAAGCTTTAAATTTCAGATGCAAACCAATCAATGCAGGAAAATTTCAAATTTTCTGTTGTGAAGATATCCTGAATTTAGCTACTTGTTCCTAGTTCACACCACAATTTTGTTTCAGCATGTTTTAACTGGTATGTATCAACTTTAATCTGGAAACATGAACAGAGCCACACTCCTTATGGATTACTGAAACTTAAAAAAAATAAATACATGTAATGAGGAAAAATACATGCTGAAGAGATTCCAATGAACTATGGCCATGACTTTCCGAAACAGAAACAGTGATGACTTACGTGAAAAAGGGAATTGGCTGGACAAGCTTAAGATCTGGTTCTTTCTCTCGCACCATTAGAGCCTGCCTCCTTCTACGTAGCTCCAATGCTTCATCTATGATTGCTCTTGTTTCAGCTGCACTCACATTCACATCATGGATCGACATGTCACTGAGAGGTGGTGAGAAAGGAAGACAACATAGGTAGTTTTATTTTTTTAATATCAAAGAGATTAATTTAAGATTCTCCTCTAATGTAGGGTACAAAAACAATAATCACATATAAAAGCACATATACATTTGTTCACAGTTCATTCTAAAATTAGATGGTTCAAGGCAGATTCTCCTCTTTCACTTTCTAAAAAGTGGGAAATGAATAGGAAAGCAGTGAGATCGATTATAGCAATGCTATTGTTATGGCTGAGAAGCTCCTTTTGTTCCAGGGTCCCATTTTGAGCAACTCAAAGTTTCAGCAAAAACAACATCTAGGGTTGAAAATTCTCTTGCATGTTTTCAGTCCAGAAGTGAATTTTTTGAGAGTTTGAAAAATATCTATTCCATTGTTTTTGAGATATCAGACTGTGGGGAAAAAATTATCATTAAATGCTTTGCTGAATTTATGTGCTTAAAGCTTTGCTAAATCATGGCCTAAGTAACTAACCAACCAAAAGTCTACGTCACAGGCCCTTATTTTCTATATCTAGCCCAAGTCAAAAACAAGACCGTCCTTCCTTTAAGATTCGCTAGCTCCTTCCTTGCAAGCTATAAAGCCATCCCTACACTAAACTTCTACCTTAAGATGCATCAGGAGCCCAAATAGGTCTGGCAGCCTTTCTGCTCTTTCCCAGTACACACACTCCACCTTAACTACCTAGGATTATTTGAGTCTGTAACTGTATGTCCACAAAAAATTAACTTTCAAATCAAGTTTCACATGTTCAGATGCTGAGCACTCAAGAGTTTGCTATGCTCTAAAAAATGAAATTTTAAAATGACTCTCTCAGGATACTATAGAAAGCCAGTGATACACATCTGCATCCCTTCAGATGATCCCCCACACTTCATGTTTCAAAATTTGCAGGCTGTGTAGAGTACAGTGCTGATAAAGTGAAAAACTCTATTTGCATGTCTGACCAAAGAATCAATAGATGTGCACCAAGACTCACATTCCACTTTAATTCATCCACATAGCACACACATATTAAGGCAATGATGTTATCCACATGCGCAGGAATATAAAATATTACAGATGCACAATGGGACTGAGTTACAGTTGAATTAAAATCCTAATTTTCAATTTCTTGAGTTTTGTTGATGGACACAATGTTAGATGGGGAGTCAGGAGACCTGGCTCTGCTACTGATCTGCTGGTGATTTTGGGTAAATCACTTCAATTCTCTGTGTCACTGTTTCTCCCACCTTTGAGATTATAAAATCTTCAAGGAAGGGGGAAGTCTCTAACTATAGGTTTGTACAATGCCTAGCACAACGGGACCCCAAACTTCATTGGGGCTTCTAGGCATTATCATAATATAAACAATAAATAAATAAACAACAAATCTCAACCATAATGTTTCAATAACAGTTTTCAGAAATAAATAATCCAAATGCTCACATAATCTTACAGGATTCTTGCATCTCAGATACGACAGAAGCTTACAAAACTAATAACCATATACAATTCTCACTGAAGTCAATGCAAGTCTTTACATTGATTTCAGGGACAGCTAGAGCTGGTCCCAAGTCAAATGCCATGGAAAGGTGGTAATTAAGAAGTGATTTCAATTAGGAAAGTAAATCCTGAAAAGAACAGACAGGGGAGGTGGATGTACATGTTTCAATTATAGTTATATATAAAAGCAAAACACAATAATGGGAATTTAAAAAAGTCTGGGAATTAAAATAATTTTGGAACACTACAAAGAAAAAGTTAGTATTTTCTTCTTGCAACAAGTAATTAACATGGAAAATAGTGCCTAACACAGCAATAAGGTTTATTCAGAAGACAAAAACTACATGGTACAATTATATTAGTTTAAAATGTTGGACCTCACTAGGCTTTCTGAACTACTCCTATCCTAAAATTCTAATGTAAGAACTATAGGATGACTAAGAATGAGATTCACCATTTGAGGAACATCCTTAACGAGTCTTTCCTGAGGCAAGGTTGCTCGTCAAAAATCTTCTCCTTCAATACCAGTCCTTTGCTGTATTGGCAGTCTTTCTCCAGAGCTTTGCAGATAAAATACAAACATGCTAATAGAGGAAACAGAAATAAGAATTATGGGCAATTTGACACTTTGGATCATTCAAAAGTTCCCACTTCTGGGATAAATATAAACTACTAACAAGATTGTTAAAATCTTCAACTGGACATGAAACATTTCGACAATCATTGATTTGTAATTCTCTCTGCAAATGGTTAAACACATAGATATACAAATAAAATAACTTACCTGGGCATCCTAATCATAACCCCACATTCTCAAGTTTTAGCCCCTAAAAACAAATCTACAACTTTGCTAAACAGCTTAACAAGGTCATTTATCAGGTTTTGGTTTCAAACCCCATATTTCTGAAAAACAGGAATCCTTCAGTGTTTTTACACCATTCCTCAGCATTTATCATGATCACTGCATTACAAATTGCATTACAGCAGGAAAGGCCATATCCTGCATTCTTTACTCACCGGAGTAATCCCATTTACTCCATTAAGACTATTCTCATGAGGAAGGACGACGGGATCAGGCCCTACATCTCTAATTTACCTTGGAGTCACCTATTAACCTTAATTTGTATTGGTTCATCTACCACATGAAACCTGAATTTGAAAGTTGAGAGACAGTTATATCAATTGCTGCATAATTAACCATAACTATGAACTATATTGTAGTTTTATACTCAAATCCTGGAGGTAACTTGCTAGAAATGACAACAAAGACAAAGAACATGCATGAGAGTGAGAGAGAGGTCTACAGGGAAGCTTCTTGCATGCACTCTGATGTATAATAGATCACAGCTCCAGATCATACTTTCACTCTAAATCCTACAGATATTTTTTAAGTATTGTGGGGCAGAGGAGAATAGATTATTACCCAAAGAATTAAATGTCCTTCCGCATAGAGACAAATATCTTCCCATCAGAAAAAAAAGTATGGATTAAAAAAGAACTTAATTGAAATGTTTGCTGTTTCATCCTTTTATCTGATTAAGCAGAGTTTAAGAGTGCCATTCATAACTTCAGACTGGTGCAGGGCCATATCTCTCTTGCTGCATGAGGCAGAGGGGATAGAAGACGTGGATATCCTGTCCTTATGGACTAAAATTGCAGAAGAGAGGGGAATTAATGCTACATCTTCCAACTTTCGAGACCACAGAGAAATTTCCTCAGAAACAGCATGTAGTTGGTACTCCACAGGTTTTTTGGAGTTGTGTGACCTTCTGGAGGGAAGCATGTCTAAGGATAGCTGCTCTTCACGGCATCATCCTTTGCTAAAATTCCAGAAGAAATTAATGGTGACTTTATCAGCTGGAACTTTTGCACAAACCCATTCCACCTTATCTTCCCATTAGGTGGGTAGAGCGGTAAGGTGCAGCTCCTAAGGAAGCTGTGCTGCTGGGAAAAAAGGGAGTGGCTCAGGAAGTAGTATGGATCCCTGGTCCTCTGTGGAATTTCCTCACAGATCTTCAGACATTTACACAGGTGCTGGGCCTCGTCCCCTGCTCCCTTTGTGGCCACAGAAACCCTGTCTACTGACAAGGTATCTCAGAAACTCCACAAGCTACAACACGAACTTCCTTACATGTATTTTTCCATGGAGTGCATTACCTGGTCCTTAATAGTTAAATTACTACCACACACTGATCAATATTTACAATGGAACCAGCTTAGAGAGTATCCTGTTGTACTGTAGTTCTATTTATAGAGGAGGGAAAACAGTGTGCTGCAGAGCGAATATTTTCTTCTCCTCAGTTTATTTAACTAGTTCAGCTCAATGACTAGCTCATGCAAGGGTAAGAAACCAGTTGGGAGTTGAAAAACCAGTAAAGGCTTGTTTTCCTCTTCCACTCTATGAATAAAACTTAGGTGTGAGAGAATGAGATCTCCTGTTTCTAAAATCTTAAAGGACCTAGAGACCATAGATAATCAGTTCAAGTCACTAACTGCAGATAATACTTCCTTTGTTTAATAAATCAGCTGGTTTTAAATGCAAAACATTTTTGATAAAAATGTTTTTTTATGTATACAACATATTTAAGATTATTTTATTTAACAAACAATTTAAATGCTGTTTCTGTGAATTTTTAATTGAATCCAGACTCATGAATCCAACCAGGGATACTGAATTCAAAAAATTCCTCCCCCAAAAGGATCTTGCTCATAGTCCACCTCAAACATTTCCTACAGAAAAGCAAATCCTTTGGGGGACCAGGGGACAAAACGCATGTCAACTCAATATCCATGGTTGGAACTTTTGTTTCCTTGCCCCTCGTCTGTGTGTTCTGTTTGGGATCCCTTGTAACATAAAATGATATAAACTTAATTTTATTTCCATTATTTAAAAAAGTCATAGGAATTCTAAAAGAGAAAAGAACTAAATAAAAATAAATGAGCACAATGATGGTTTTCAATAAATAAAAGCAGCAGATAGGGATTTTTCCTGTAATTAAAAACCGTTACAAATCACTGTACTTTACCTTGAAAAACTTACACATTAGTGTCTTATAATTTCAATACATTGCTTGTTTAAGATATTGTCTGAAAGACTGCATCACTGTACTGTTCTGATCATATTGATTTTTACTTGAATTGCATATTTTAAGAAAAATTATACAAAAACTAACTGTACTTACTTGTATAGTCACTGAGCGTGTACAAGACTGTGATGAGGTTATCTAAACAAGGCCAGTGATCAGGATTACATCTGAGCCCTTCTTCAAAAGCATGTCGTGCCAGTGGCATACGGATTAGCCTTATTGCAACACGACCAATTTTATACCACAGGTTGACATCAGTAGAGTCTAACATTACAGCCTAGAAAACAAAAATATCACACCATATACACATGTCTACACATGCATGTGTGTGTCTGTACACATTGCCTAATATAGTTTGTATTTGCTAGAGTTGAGGTTTATGATGGAACACTATTGTTCTTTGGGACTGAAAAGGTGAGCAAGTAATACCATATTTATTACCTAAACATACACACAATACATGCAAATTTGGGCTGTCGATTAATCACAATTAACTCATGCATTTAGCTCAAAAATTATTTGTGATTAGTCGAAGTTTTAATTGCGCTGTTAAACAACAGAATACCAATTGAAATTGCTTAAATATTTTTGGATGTTTTTCTACATTTTCAAATATATTGATTTCTATTACAACACAGAATAAAAAGTGTACACTGCTCAATTTATATTATTCTTATTACAAGTATTTGCACTGTAAAAATGATAAAAGAAACAGGCTTTTTCAATTCACCTCATACAAGTATTGTAGTGCACTCTCTTTACTGTGAAAGTGCAACTTAAAAATGTCAAATTTTTTTGTTACATAACTGCACTCAAGAACGAAACAATACAAAACTTTAGAGCCTACAAGTCCATTCAGTCCTACTTCTTGTTCAGTCAGTCGCTAAGACAAACAAGTTTGCTTACATTTATGGGAGATAATGCTGCCACTTCTTATTTATAATGTCACCTGAAAATGAAAACATCCATTTGCATGGCACTTTTGTAGCCAGCACTGCAAGGTATTTACGTGTCAGATATGCTGAACATTCGTATGCCCCTTCATGCTTCGACCACCATTCCAGAAGACATGCTTCCATGCTGATGACGCTCATTAAAAAAATAATGCGTTAATTAAATTTGTGACTGAACTCATTGGGGGAGAATTTTATGTCCCCTGCTGTTTTACCAGCGTTCTGCCTTATATATTCATGTTATAGTAGTCTTAGATGATGACCCATCATCACATGTTCATTTTAAGAATACTGTCACTGCAGATTTGACAAAACTCAAAGAAGGTACCAATGTGAAATTTCTAAAGATAGCTACAGCACTCAACCCAAGGTTTAAGAATCTAAAGTGCCTTCCAAAATTTGACAGGGAAGAGGTGTGGAGCCTGCTTTCAGAAGTCTTAAAAGAGCAACACTCCGATGCGAAAACTACAGAACCCAAACCACCAAAAAAGAAAATAAACCTTCTGCTGGTGGCATCTGACTCAGAAGATGAAAATGAACATGCATCTGTCTGCACTGCTTTGGATTGTTATCGAGCAGAACCTGTCAACAGCATGGACACATGTCCTCTGGAATGGTGGTTGAAGCATGAAGGGACATATGAATCTTTAGCACATCTGCAATGTAAATATCTTGTGACACAGACTACAACAGTGCTATGAGAACGTCTGTTCTCACTTTCAGGTGACATTACGAACAAGAAGCGGGCAGCATTATCTCCCGCAAATGTAAACAAACTTGTTTGTCTGATCAATTGGCCGAACAAGAAATAGGACTGAGTGGACTTGTAGGCTCTAAAGTTTTCCCTTGCTTTATTTTTGAATGCAGTTATTTTTTGTACTTAATTCTATATTTGTAAGTTCAACTTTCTTGACAAAGAGATTGCACTACAGTACTTGTATTAGGTGAATTGAAAAATACTATTTTTTTGTTTTTTTACAGTGCAAATATTTGTAATCAGAAAAATATAAATTAAGCACTCTACACTTTGTATTTTGTGTTGTAACTGAAATCTATATATTTGAAAATGTAGAAAACATCCAAAATATTTAAATAAATGGTATTCTATTATTGTTTAATCGCACGCTTAATCTTTTTAATCACTTGACAGCCCTAATGCAAATCATTTATACAAAATATGGTGAGGGTCTCTCACATCTACTTCAGCAAGACTAGTAAATATTGAGACTCTCATATTGTACTCAGACTGTACTGTACCTCTAAGTAGAACTCCATGGCTGTCTCCAGGTCATCTCGCTGTGCTGCCAATTGCGCTAGATTTTTATAGGTGGAATATTTTAACATTAAGCCTGGATGTTTTAACCCTTCCTTCTCATCACCAGAGAGAACTGCCTGAAAATGGTAAACAAAACAAATGTACCCTTGACATCAGGAATTAGACTAGTGATAAACAGCAGCAAATAACCAGCCAACTGACAACCAGCATTACATTTTTGAGTCATCCATGGCCAAGACACAATGGAATAGCACAAAATGCAATAAAGATGTGGCTATCTTTCACTTTGACTCTCTAAATTTCACTGACCTCTCGCAGAAGACGAATCTCAAGCAGCTCATGGTAAGCTTTGGCAGACTCTTCAAATCGGTCATGTTTCTGAAGGTCCAAAGCTTTGTGATACAGAGCAAAAGCTTCTGCCTCCTGTGGGTCAAAGTAACAAAATTAACAACATAATCATCACAACTCTTATGCAGAAGTAACACTTAAATAAGAGAAGATTTATATAATGGATTTTCTCTACTGATTTTTCTATTAACTTTTTATTTAATAGTCTTCAGAAATAAAAGAATAAAATACTAGAACAACCAAGGAGAATCCTTGCAATAAAATTAGAGATTTTAAGAAAATATGTGGAAGTCAAAAGCAATTTGCCGGGGGGGCGGGGGGGAGGTGGGGGGGGAAGGGTGTTTAATACAGCCTTAAAACAATGTGCATACCATGGCCATTATTCAGGAAAGCATTTCTGTCAATCCTATTCAGGAAAGCACTCATGCACATACTTAACTTTAAGCACATACTTAAGTCCCATTGGGCTTCAATGGAATAAGTATATTTCTTCATTAATATGAACAATAAAGCACCCTCTCTGAATAGGTAGGCTTTTCTGAATTGGGTCCAATAGTTGTAACCAGGCTAAACGCAGTTGTTATTATTAGGAGTCTATCACCTTTGCAGTTTGTAAAATATTTTTTGTGAATCTAGTTATAAAACCATACTAAAAGCTACCTGTCAAAGTGGTTAGTATTCAGCATAGTTTTACAATAGAAAAAACCCAGTCTACACTGGTCAGGAAAGTTAATTCAGTTGTTGCTAGTAACGACTCTACTTAAATATGGCAGCTGCTAGAATGGTTTCATAAACAGTATGAACAAGGCCTAAGTGAAGCTGTAAAATCTAAGGTTTTAACAATAAATACACGTTCTTTTCTTTTAAATATTTCTATCTGATAAATATGATGATTTATCAATAATGTTAGCTAAATAATTCATTGCCTCCTCAACAGGCAAAACAAAGAGGAGCGGAAAAGGATGGGGTGTGCAGCATGCTCAGGTGGTTAACAAACCTGGGCTCTGGTACACCAAGGAAAGGGACTTCCAAAATCAAGGATCTCTCAAAGAGAATGCCCTGCCAGCAGCACCATCTCATTTATATTGAGAGAACTACATGAGCAGTTCTATTGCTCTCAATTCTGATAGCATATCAGAGACATGCCACCCTGGAGGTCCTCTATTTTAATCTCTAACCTACCTGGAGGCCAAATTTAGACTGGATCTCTCTCCTACCTTTCCCTGTGTCATTGGTACCTACATGTATCACAACCCTTGACTCCTCTCCAACACTGAACATAAGTCTTTCTAGATGTCTGGAGAAGAAGGAAGATTGACAGCTGCCATCAACAAGATCTTTGGTCTATAAACAATTAGAGAGGTGGTTTAAGCTGCTAGTTCTGCTAACCAAGATGCCTGTGGTTCCCGCTGTCCCCAGTTTTCTCCTTTTGATTTTCACCAAGGTCAATAAGGTTCTGTCTACTGAAGCCTAGATCATTCTTGAAACATTCAAATTGATCAGCTGCAGTATTGAAAAGTTATCACATTACATCCAAACAGAGAAAAGCCACCAAGTTGAGTGTAAGGCCTTGCAAGATCAATTAAAAATACACACTCTTTATGTTTTCTCTTGCAATAATCTGTACCCATGAGACATTCTTAGTAAATCAGGAGAGTATTATACAGAAACAAACTGTGCTCAGATTAGTTGTCTATAATTAAATGAATTATAATTATATTTCTGAATCAGATATAATCAGCCAGATAAATCAGCACCTTGAACTTGGCCTCCGTAGATTATCTTTGCTTAGTTTACCTAACTAACATGACTGGAATGATTCACAAAGCTGAGACACTGAGATCATTCCTATCAAAATGTCTTCAGTTTGTATCGTAAAGTAGAGTCAGGCAACTTATCTCTTTCAACAGCTAATATTTCTTCATCTGTTCAGTAAGCAGACAGGAAACTCAGCTCCTAAACTAATGCAGCCTACTCACAAATAAGCCACACAGATGCACTGTACCCCATTTCAGTAGAGTCATGGTATGCTAAGGGCTGAGTTTAGGAGATGAGAATATTAATGTAGCTCTTCCCCCTAGAACCAAAAATTACGAGAGAACAGACCCAATGTTGGGAGATTAGAACATATCAGAAGAGATTCAATGTCAATTTTCCACATTATTAAAATTGTTTTACTTACTTGAGCCTCCTTTGTCTGTGTTTTGTGACTTTTGAAGGTACCTTCATGCTCATCCTCAATTGTGGAGCTGGCATTCAATGCTGCAATTCGGATCTAAGAATGAGAATCAAGAAACAGTTACATACATGAAATTCATATCTGGCTCAGTTCCTCATCTCACTCTTGCCACCAGAATTTTTATCATTTCTCTCTCTAGTTGAAAATCTCACAATAAAACCCAGGTTAGCACTGCAAATGTAAGAAATTATTACTACTTCAGTATATAATGGTTACTTTATCAACCCACTAACTGCAGAATATGACAAGCAAGACAAAGGAAGCTCCTTTAATGGCAGGGGAGGACATTTAAACCATCCCTAGGAATCCTGGAGCCAGTAGAATGGACATATGGATTACAGTGAAGCTCCTTAATTTACCAATCACTACACATTTACTGAAAATGCAATGTTCTAGTTGTGCCAATTAACACTCCACAGAGAGCGGCTAAGTCTTGGGATAAGGAAATATGGAAAATTGTTTTTGGTTTCTCACATCAAACACATGAAAGGATTCAAGCAACATGTGGCACCGAGAATTCGCTGCTCTCTCAGAGAGCCATACCACCAAGATGTCTGATAAGCAGCTTGTGCTGGACTGCCACCTTACCATGTTCAGAAAGATTCTCCCACTAGAGTCAGGTGGAGGGCCAGTCACATAGGTCTGAAGAGCAAACAGGGATTGCAATTATTTTTACTATAAATGGAAAACATTTATTATTAAAAACATATAATCATTATTTAACAATTTAATTGGAAATTTTTACAAGCGTCATAGCACCTTACAATATAAACAAGAATTGACAATAACAATCTTAAAAACAATTGTAAATAAAGTTCTAAAATAATTAAGATGAAAGGAAATGCAATTGTTCCTTATTTTCTTTTTGCTTTTAAGACTTTAAACACTAGAAAAAAATGAATATTTGCAATGCACTTATAACTATGGTACATTAGTCAGCTGGAGATTTATGTGTACTGTAACAGTAATATTAAATATAATCCCTACGTTAGATATGATATTCTTGAGAACATCCAAAAACATTACATTAAACGAATGTTAAGGCTGCCACATTAATCACTTAAATGTCAGATTTCAGAGTAGCAGCCGTGTTAGTCTGTATTCGCAAAAAGAAAAGGAGTACTTGTGGCACCTTAGAGACTAACCAATTTATTTGAGCATAAGCTTTCGTGAGCGACGGCTCACTTCATCGGATGCATACTGATGAAGTGAGCTGTAGCTCACGAAAGCTTATGCTCAAATAAATTGGTTAGTCTCTAAGGTGCCACAAGTACTCCTTTAAATGTCAGACAATGACGAAGATAAAGTTGCCTGTGTAGCCTCAATTCTGCCTCCTTGCGGTGCATAGCTATAGTCTACCTGCACCATCGCATCATTTTTTAAAATTATGGAAAAAGTCCTCTTCTCAGAGCAGGGCTGACTTCCTGCCCCTGTATCAGCAGCACAAGACCAGAATCCCTGTTCACAGATGCATTTCTGGGGCTAGAACCCAATGCCCTTCCCACAACGAGAGTCTGTGGAACAAGACAGAAATCAAGGAAAAAGTTGTCCTGGTGCGGAGTGTCAGAGGAGGCAGCCATCATGGCTTCTTTCAGAGCACATCCAATTGGTCTACTATTCAAAGCAAGCTGGCAAGCCCTCTATACTAGCGCTCCCAGCTACTGTTGCTAACTTTTACGAAGCTGAACTAGTGCAAGTATCAGTGGAGCACTTTTTTTTTTTTTAAACGTTCCCTATACAGAGTGTAGGTGGGCCAATGACAACACAGTGTCTCTCATCTCTCTTGCAAAGGCAGGACTTTAGAGCTGCATACCCATAGAGGTCTATGAAGTAAATATTTGGCAACAAAAAGAAGCTAAACTTCTATGATAAAAACTTCTCCATTTTGAAAGGAGGGAGGTTAATATCCCTAGCAATTTTAACATTGATAGAAAATTTGAAAACTGGTATTCACATTTAAAACCAGTTTTCATTTAAGTTAAACCTATAATTTTCATTCTATTAATTTCTTGAAGTATGATGCAAGTAATGGCAAAAGAACGTGAAAGGAATTTGTACATGTTTTATTTTAAATGTTCACTGCCATGAGACAAATCCCTCACATCAGCAGACATACAAAAAAATGACATGTGCACAGCAGGCTAAAAACAGTCTTTTATATTGTAGACCATATTAATAGTAAGGTAACTCCAGAATTAACCACAGCAGGAAGCAGTGGGAGTGCTGAACTATGAGCTGAATGAATTCAGATATCATTGATGAGCACTTTCACGTGTAAAGAAAGCATGTTTTTACTTTAATTTAACTCATTCAGAAGTGATCACATTTTGTTGGTTCACACACACTGATTTTCCCTCCTCAACTAAAACTTCTATCACTTGCATCCAAATTATACAGAAAATTGAACAATAATATAAAGTATTTTACGTCTTCAAAGCATTTCATAAACATTAGTTAACAAAGCTTCAAAATCCCTGCAAGACATGCACGTATTTTCCCCGTTTTATAAATGGAGGAAACAGAGGCCTGATTTTCAGAAGTTACAGAACTTCTGGGCAAAATTTTCAGTCTGAAACTTTTTGTCTCTAAATTTCCTTTATTTTTACTTTTAAAAATTCAAAAACATTTTAAAATGCTCAAAACAAAATGTTTTGATTATTTCAAAACAAAATATTTTGTTTTACCCAAAAAAGTTGTTTTTTTTAAATTTGTTAAAAAATAAATTAAATGTTCATTTTTGGACTGACCTTAAACAATTTTTTTTTAAATTTTTTTTAAATTGCTAATGAAACCAAAAGTCCAATTTTCACCTAGATCTATACTGAACATCCATGACTCCAAATTAAATTATCACCAGCTCTAAAAAACATTGGGCTCCATGGCCCTATTTCAGTGAGATACTTAAAGTTAGGTAAGTATTTAAGTTTACTTGAGCTTAAGTTTAAATACATACTTAAGAACCTGACTAAATCAGGGTCATGGTGACTTGCTCAAGCTCACACAGCAAGTCATTGATAGATAGGTTGACCACATATCCCATTTGGGATGGGACAGTTCCCTTTTTAACTCCTATCCCAGATGTCCTGACTTTTTTGGCAAAACTAGGCATTTGTCCCATCTGCTCTTGTCAACTGATCATCAGAGGGCAAGAGCAAACAAACAGGACAAATGCCCAGTTTTAACAAAAAAGTGGAGCATGCCCCCAAGGGAATGTTTGGTGGGCAAGCGACAACAGGGTGTGGGCTGTCAACCCCAGCCCCAGGGCTTGGGCCAGCCCCATGCGGGGGGCAGGGACCCTCAGGCCAGCCTCACATGGTATCCTACTTTCCCTTTGGGAAATATGGTCACCCTATTGGTAGACACAGGATTAGAACTCAGTAGCTTGGCTGATATTGCACTAGAGACTAGACCAGTGGTCCCCAACCTTTCTGTGGGAAAAGCGGCAGTGGTAAGAAGCATCGCCGCCGAAATACGGCAACGCTTCTCGGTGGCATTTCGGCGGGCGGTTCTCCGGCGGCCGCGCTCGGCTGCGGCATTTCGGCGGTGCAGCGTCCTGCGGGCGCACACAACTGCCCCGGCGGGTGCCATTGCACCACAGGCACCGCGTTGGTGACCCTTGGACTAGACCAACCAAAGCGAAAGAAAAATATGTGGATGGCAACAATTTTAATTCTGCATTTTGCTCAAATAGAAACTTTTAAAGAAGAGTCAAGTTACTTTTCTTCTGTCACCATTTGACTGTACTAGAGCTAAGAGAAATACAGTAAAATAGAAAGCAGAGTTTCTGTACTGGCATAACTATGTCAGTTAGGGGTGTGATTTTTTACTGGTACAATTCCTAATTCAGACACAGTTATTTTATAGCAAAATAATACTCTACAGGAATAAACTATACCAGTATAAGCATTTTAACGCTAGTATAACTGTATCCATAGAAAGTGGCTTGTACCACTTTAGCTATACCAGTATACGTAATATACCAGTACAATTAAAGCAAATTTTATGTGCAAGACAAAGCCTTAGGCACCTGCAAACTTTATGTCTAGACAGAGACACTCAATAGAATAGTGCTACTTTAAGCCTTCCAACTTAAAAATCATATACAGGTACTGCAAAAATAAATTTACTTGTTTCACACAGCTCCTTAGATTATTAAAACCAAAATAATTTTCTAATTCTAATTTACTTAACTATTTATGCTCCATTTTCATTTTGCATTGTTCTTGTGAGTTTCACGGTAGGTTCTCATTGCAGTTATGTTTAGGTGTCAAACGCTATAAGGAAATATTTGTTTAAAGTCAGCAGTTTTCAGTGACTTTTTAAAAAAAGTTGTAAAAGTGTTTCTACTAGATTTAGGTTTTAGAAAAGTTCATTCTTCCAAAACTAGTTTTTGACCACATGCTAAAGGGATCGTTTTCACGGTCTATCGTGTACACAGTGCCACTTTCCAGAGCACGGGTGTGAGGGAGTGACTGGAGAGGAAGACGTAGATGCATAAATGATGATGGGTAGGTTTTTAGCAAGGGGAGGGGGAAGATCTGTTACACTTCCTGAAAGAAGCTCAGCGTCCAAGTGTTTGAGAAACCCTGTTGTAAAGGGTGCAAGAGCCCGGCAGAATCGTCACAGGAGGCTCCATCCAGCCATAGGCCTGTGAGAGGCAACTGCAGACAGACGGGCGGAACGGGGCCCCTCCGTGGAAACTGGGACGTCGGTGGGTTCTGGAACTAGAGGGCTCCCCAATTATCCGGGGAGCTTTAACGTAAGCAAGGCTTGGCCCACGGAGATCGCTCCCCCACGGCACCTCCTCCCGCACAATGCCGATCCCCCATCCGGGCGGGGACAGGGCTGCACCCCCGCTCTCCATACAGGTGCCCGGCAGCACTGGGCCCTCCGCTCCCTCAGCAGAGGCGCCAGGTACCAGCCCGCACTCCCCCCACACGGGCACCGGCCCCGCTGCTTCCCCGAGAGAGCTCCCCACGCCCCAGCCCGGTGTGCAGCCCGGGCCGGCTGGGTAAACGGCGGGCAGAGCGGCCCGCCTAAGACGGGGAGAGGGGGCTGACGCGCCGCTGAGGGGAGTCCGTTCTACAGGGAAGGGGGGAGCCTCACCTGCAGTCTCCACGGCAACCTCCTCCCAGGCCCCTGGAGCCCAGCAGGCCAATACAACGGCCGCTCATTGGCTGAACTGCGGCTCCCTAGCCAGCCAATAGAGATGCTGGATGCAGATTGCCCGGCTGCCTCCGGAGCGGGCGGGGCCGAGGGGGCTGCGGAGCAGCTTCCCGCAGTGACGCCCCCCACTCCGGGGGCTGTGCCTCCCACATCCGCCCCGCCCCTTCCGGGACCCCCAGGTGCCCTCACGGGACCCCGTTGTCGGAGACCGCTATGATGCCGTCACCGCGGCACGTCGTTGCCGTCACGACCTTAGCGCGCGCCGTGCTGTCCCTCCATTGGCCCTCGGGAGCCACCGTCCCATGACTCGTCCTGCCCGCTCTCTCGTGTCGTCGGGGTGCGTCCCTCCCTCTCTCACCGCGTCACTGTCAGCCCGTCCCGCGCGCGCACGGGGCCGTCACGCAGCCCAGCCCCGCCGCCGCCGCCCGGCCTCGGGGCTCGACCAGTGACTGACCAGAGCCGGCCCGGCTGGAGCTCCTGTCACCGTGCGTCTAAATCACCGAATCGGTCCAGGTGCTGTGTGACTGGCTCTCTCCAGAGCGCGCCACGTCCCCCTGCACCGTCCTCACCCCCCGGCCTGGAGCAGCCACGCGTCAGCTTGAGGGCATTGCCTGAGGGGTTGGACATAACCATGCCTAATGTACAGCAGTGGCGAAGTGCTTTGTTGAACCAGGGCCCTGGTGCTGCTTGCGGTATGTTGCTGGCCCTCCTTCACTATCTCCGTTCCTGGCTTTTCTTCCTGCTGCCTTCTGTTTTCTGCCAGTGCCCAACAGGTTCATTTTTATATCCCATCTCTGGGATTTTACCGCTCATGCATTCAACTACTGCCTTTTCTCTGTGGTAGCGGTCTGTTCAGTCCTCTCTCTCTGGGTGCGTTTCTGACATTTCCTCATGGATGCCTAGCTTCATCTGAAACTCATTTTCTCAAACACTGAAGTTTTCTTCTTTCCTTCCAGTCCTCAGCTGCCCTCCTTTATTCTATGTATTCACAGACAACTACACAATCCTCCCTGTTTCCCCAGCCCATCATTCCAGTGTTTATTGTATGTTCTCACAACTTAACTGAAAGTGAGCTGTTGAATCTTTAACAAAACTGTCCTTTCTCCAAAATGTTATTTACTTAAGTTAAATCTGTGCTAACAAAAAGCAGAGTTTTAAAAAGTGTCAGTAAAAATCCTTTCCCTGTCAATTGCTCAGTTTTCACCAGTTAGCTTGAGTTACAGGCTCAAGTTACTCCACTTGAGCTAGCTAAGCTCAAGGGAGAGTGGCCATATTGCAGCATCACACTTCACCTGCAGAGAATGATTGTGATAGCAGCAAAGAGTGATTGGATTAGCATCTGATAAATTGTGCTAACTTGAGCTGTAGCTGCATCCACACCGCATTAATAGCATATACCACCTGACAGACCAGCTAGCTCAAGTTTAAAGCATCACTTTAACTCAAGGTAGAGATTTTTGTCTATGAACTGGAGTCAGGTTGGGTGTAATGCCTGAGTTATATCTCAAGCTAAGCATTGCAATGAAGACAAGCCCTTGCTCTATATGTGTATAGTATTGTGTAGAGTTAGAGCACTATGTAAATGGATTGTAATAATAAACATGATGCTTTGTTCTTATAGAATTATAAAAAACATAGAGCTGGATGGGACCTGAAAGGGATCATCTAGTCCACTCTTCTCACACTGAGGCAGGACCAAGTATACCTACACCATCCCTCACAGGTGATTGTCTAACCTGTACTTAAAAACCTCCATTGACAGGAATTCCACAACCTTCCTTGATAATGTATTCCAGAGTTTAACTGCTCTTCTAGTTAGAAAGTTTCTCCTGATATCTAACCTAAATCTTCCTTGCTGCAGATTAAGCTGATTACTTCTTGTCCTACTTTCTGTGGACATGAAGAACAATTGATAAGTTATCAAAGTCAAGTTAATTACAATCACTTTAACCAAAGTGAGCAATTTATCAAGTTACTCTGATGGTCACTAAAGGGCATATCATAACTTGTGCATTACACTGGATCACCCTATAGTCAAATGTCTAACAAGAGCTGAAAGGTTTCAGAGTTACAGCCGTGTTAGTCTGTATTTGCAAAAAGAAAAGGAGTACTTGTGGCACCTTAGAGACTAACCAATTTATTTGAGCATAAGCTTTCCTGAGCTACAGGTCACTTCATTGGATGCATACAGCTGAAACATACACATCAAAGCTTTAGTCATTTTTTGGTGCTAGATCTTTGATCTTTTTCAGAATATGAACCTCCCCTAAAAGGCATTTTTGTAGCTGTGTATCAAATATGTTCACTAAACTTAAAGTGATGATTTTATGATAAAATCATCTGGTAAATTATTAGAGAATGAAGATATCTGTTTAGGGAGACTCTGGAGAGAGTAGAGGACTGGTAATGGGATGAAGAGACTCTGTCAAGCAGATCATTGGACTACAGTGACCAGATGTTACCATCTGATAGCTGTTTGCTCACCAAAGTGGAATAAGCTGATGCTGTCAGTCCTGGTAGACATGTCTACCAAGCATCCATGTTGACAACCTGCAGTGGAACCCAAAGACTGAAAGTGTGGAGACTGAAGTACCCTCTCAGTCATGGGTTTGTGTTGAAGTATGCTGGCAGGGTGATGTAGGAAACCTATTAAGAACATGATTGTAAGGAGAAATTAATATGTTTCATCAGTCTGGGTTTGGTATTTTCATTTGTATTTTATTTTTAAAATTAAAACATATTAATTGCAAATCTGATTGTAGAATGGGCATTTGTTTACAATGTGGAAAAGGCTGTGTAGATAATGAGCAGTGGGTTAGTGCATTGGCCTGCCACCCATGTATGTCTGAGTTCAAACTGGCTTGTCAAATTAAAATATTTTATTGTAGTCTCCCATTTTGTGCTTATTACAGAAACATCTCAGGGATGGGCAGAGAAGACAGATCTGGAATAGCAGGGGTGTTTTAAGTCAAGTTTCAGATGCATTTGGAGAGCTTGTATGGAGGAAGCTTTCGTAGATGACTTATATTGCTTTCTAGTTTATATTGTTGAAATCTCAGGGAATCATATCAGTCTGCAGCCATGCCACCTCGTACTACAAGGAAATCTCCAACCCTAAGTGATATAAAGAATAGTTCCCCTTGTGTAGAATGTACACATATTTATCTCAAAATCTTTGACTCCAGGTTTAAGAAAGCAGACTATCCCCACCACCAGCTATTGTATAAACTGATAATTGGGGATGGGATATTCATACACCTTAAAGCAATCTCCCCACATGGTTGTTCTTGTAACTCAAAAGTTATTATTTAATATTTATATCCCAATAGTGTCCAAAGGTCTTCGACAGGATCAGGCCCCTTGTGCTGGTTAAATACATACACAATCCTTGTCCCAAAGACTTGAGAATCTCAGAATTTATCTTGGAGCCCTTAAATCAGTCTGTTTAAGATTTTTGGACATACAAACATGTTAGTACAGAGATTTTGAGCAATCCAATAAAGATCACTAACCCTTAGAAACAGCAGCCAAATTATTTGACGTTCAAGGCTTGAAATATTTAGAAACTGTAAAAAGATCTCTTGCTGGGTGATGTTGGGGATCAGATGTCTGGCAAGCTGTGTACAAGAAAAGCTCGACAATTTGGGGGAACAGAAGTTTAAATAATTCCTATTGAGAACTATGCAGTTGATACATTTGCTTTTCTTAGACCCACAGTAACAGATCTAAGCAACTGGGCTGTTACAGCGTAAACAAATGCTTACAGCTTCCTTTGGTTTCTCTATACTGTACTATGCAGGGTTGTATACTTATTTCAGTTTGTGGATTTAAGGGGCCTGCATAACCTCCCTATGCCAGTTTCCTCCTCAAGCCCCAAAACATTGAGCTGTAGCTCAGGAAAGCTTATGCCCAAATAAATTTGTTAGTTTCTAAGGTGCCACAAGTCCTCCTTTTCTTTTTGCGGATACTGACTAACACGGCTACTACTCTGAAACGGAGCTAAATGGCTGTTTCCCTAGCCAACATGATCATAGAGAACATTCAGCACTAGCAGTTAGTGGAGTAGGAGAGCCTACAGTGATTTATAGTACCAACTCATAACAGTTGCTTTGATCCCACTCCACCCCCTGCATTGGCCAGAGCCAAATAAATGGTAAGAGGGCTCTGGCTGAGAAAAACCAATCTGTCCCAGCCCTTCACTCACTTTGGTTTAATATTTTAACTGCTATCTTACAAAAGATGCAAAGTCCATGAGCAACGAAGCTCTCAGAAAGTTCCCTGCCCCAGCTTGCTTTATGATTTTGCATTAGTACGGATGTTTTGTCACTAATATAATGTCACAGACATACTGGGAGTGTGAAAAAGATGGTCAACATTGCACAGAAAGTCTGTGCCTGGAGAAACCAAAGTAATGGTAGTTCAGGTGCTTGTCTGAACTTACTGAGACTCCCGCCAACACCCAAGACTTTCTTCCCACAAACATACCACTCCTCTAAATATGCCCTGCTCCCCCTTTATCTGTTGTCTTCTAGGGGGCAGGGAGCCCTCTCGCCTACAATCCCCTCCAGCAGTTGGAACGAGCTCAGAAGTCATTCTCTTGTGCTATCTTCGCATGGCAACCTCCTTCCCAAGCTTTCCCCACTTTTAATTCCTCCAGATGGTATCTATCCCCTTTCCACTCCTTTGTGTATCTCTACACCCCAGGGCAATGGAGTGAAGCTGCTGCTGAGAGCTGGAGAGTGTGTGGAGGCTCCTGCCTCTTCTTGTGCCTGCTCTTTTATAGCAATGAGACACGCAAAGCCAGGAAGCAGCTAATGGGAGAAGCAACGAAGGAGAAACAGCCTCTAAAAGCAACTAGTGGTAGGAAGCCAGCAAGGCGAGCTGGGACATAGGGCAAAAAACAGGATTGTCCTAAGGGAAGTCAAAACTTGTCATCTCCAAGACGGGAAGTCCTTTACAAACCATAATTAAAGCTACATTTCTGTAATGCTAACATTGAGGTTACTGGGTTTTCTCAGATTGTCACAAAGGGTTCACCTCCACTTTTTTGAGCCACTCATAGGGACATGGGCAGTACCGTCCCCCTGCCTGGAGAGAGGGTAGTAATAGGATCAGTTAAGCTTTAAGATATGCAGGGCTCCTAGTTTTCCCTAGTAAACTTCCCTAAGTTCTCTGATAAAAAACATAAAAATCCACATTTTCCATGATTAAAGTGAAATGCTGAACTTTAGTTTTCCGAGCCACAATATATATACGTAACAGTTGAACACAGTATTTTGATATATTTACAATTTTTAAGTGAGTTTGAAGCCTACCAGTGCCATCAATCATTATAATAAAATTAACAGCATTGCAATTTGTATTTCATACACATACCAAATAGTTCTGTCTGTATGGTATATTTTCAGAAAATTAGTTTTTTTTAAATGCACAAAAACACTGGTATGATCCAGTCACAATGAATTGTTTCTTTACTGTTGTCGATGGACCTGCTGTTTCAGTCTTGTTTTCATTCAGTTTATGTTTATCGTTTTCCATGTGTTCTACAATTGTCTGCCTTCGATGTAATCTACAGCCTTGCTGCATACAGTACAGACAGAACATTACCATCAACATGAAATTTGTCCTTGCCAAATGGAGAGACAGTCTTTGGGGTGATTTTTAAAGTTTTTGGCATATTTTCATAACTTTAATCACTCACATCTGGAGGCTGAAGTGAAATTTGAGATACATTAAAAAATGAAGCCCCCCCCCTCCACCCGCCTTTGAATAACCTCGAAACGCTGGAAGCAGTTTATTGGAATATGTTTAGCTATGTAAATATAAAGCGTGTTCAAAAATTAACCACAAGAGGAGGAGGTTGCACACACTGAATAAGTGACAAGTACTTTCAGTAAAATTTAATTCTATTTTTTCACAAAAAGTAAAATCTAAAGATTCTTTGTAAAAATGCAAATTCAGCTTTTTTTCCATGACAAACGGATTTCTAAGGTCACTGGTCATATGCTCAGTGATACACAATTGTTTCATTTACTATCCTAGTTTTAAAAGCATTTAATTGAAAAGATCTCATGAGAAAAATAAACATAGGCAGCGTGGATAGCTGTGTTATCTACAACTGTGCTTAAGAGTGAGTGAGATACAAGGAGAAAGGGAAACAGAGTGAAAGTATTGCGATAATCTAGTGAATCGACACACACTAAAAATATTTTGATACAACTTCTATTGACCAGATAAACACCCAACTCATGACACTAACACATAAATCTGCACTTAGTGCAGATTTTATTTAGAGGACAGTGATATTGCAACAATGGAAGAAAGTTATGCTGCATGTGTAGTAACTAGCTTCAGATATTAATAAATCATTTGGTTTTAATTATTTTTGAATAACCTAATTGGTTTCAGTTATTTTTGAATAAATGAAAGACACTTCCAACTTGACACCCACAGTTTTTTATTGTGTTTAAAAAAAATTACAAAACCTAATGGAATAAAAAGTATTCTGTGAGCAATGAAAGAGGAAATTAGTTCATTTTTAAATGTAATTATTCCCTTGCAATGCTGTAAATACCTGACAATTAAACACTGTAGTGGTACATCAGAACCAGAAAATGAAAGATTTAATCCTGACCCTCAAAACACTTATTCACATGAGTAATCCCAATGAATTCAGTGCAACTATTCATATGCCTAAATGTTTGCAGGATTTGGACCTTAAAAAGTGACTACAAATGAAAATGAAACTGACAACTCTATCTTCATTATCTCTGCTGAGTGAAATGCAAAAGTAAGAAAATCCCATAGACGATAACTAGGGGGGTTGAGGGGATTTTTGTAATAAAATATTGTGTATAATCCAGTTATAAAGTGACCAACTAGAAGGGTGCCAAGGGGAAAACTCCCCTACTAAGAGAATGGGCATTACAGCAGATGTAGCAAGGCCATGGCTCCTCTCCACCACCCACAGAACATTGAAAGCATTTGTAAAATAAAAAGTGTTCTGATATTGCTCACTGTAGTGAGAGGGTTGAGGAAAAGTACTGTGAACAAGGAGGCAAGTTACAGGAATTGAAACCAATTACCAGAACCAGCAAAATGAGCTTTGGCCTGCTAAACCCAGGGTTGTGAGTTCAATCCTTGAGGGGGCCATTTAGGGATCTGGTAGATGGGGGATTGGTCCTGCTTTGAGCAGGGGGTTGGACTAGATGACCTTCTGAGGTCCCTTCCAACCATGATATTCTATGATTCTAAAACAATTTCCTGGGCTCCACACCCTAGGGTATGAAATGATTCTGCAATAAGTAGCCCTCTTCCACACATACCCCATTGCACAATATGCACATTGATATTAAACTACAGGAGTCTATAGACTGAACATGGGAACATCCACCAGTGCAAGCAAATGATCCTAGTGAAGCAGAGCTCAGAGCAGGAGATTAGAAAGGAGCCCTAGCCCAGCCACCCCATACAAGTTAAAAGATTCTTCCCTCAGACCAATATTCTCTCTTCCCAGAAATGGGGGTGGGGTAGGAGGTTTAGCATGGAAGATATGGTCACAAAAGTTGGAAGTGAAAGATCTCAGGTCCCCTTGACTCTCTCTGCCCTCCACTGGCAGCGAGTAGGCTAACTTCTATGAATTAGTTTAGTGCCTATTGCCAGACTAATAAGCAACTTTTAGTGACTTCTGGTGTAGAAAAGTCTACAGGGACATGGTCCCAGTCAGCATTCTATCTGGTGGTGAAGTTAACCCCATAAAGTCTCAAGCTATGGCCCAGGGACTCCTAGAACAGAATTTCACAAGGAAGAGGAAAGGCTGGCACATGACAGGATCTGTCTTTCTCTTGCAAAGCGGCCCTCGGGCTGAACAAAACTGGAGAACCTCCCCTGTCAGTTATCAATGATGCCAGTCACGCAACAGAAAGAAAGAACTGTTCATTGCTAAAGGAAAAGACTACAGAACTTGGATTAACTGGATCCAAATAAGGAAGGCCATCATGACGCTGCTGCTGACAAAACAAACTTCCAGCTAAACAAAGCTCACAATTCAAGTTTTGTTTGAGATCATAGGTAACTGCATTGTCTCTGGGCCACAAGACAGGTGTGAGACAAAGACCTCCAACTGTTACTGTCAAAGAGTTTGGCTGGTAAGCCCCGCTTTGGAGATGTGTGCACATAGGAAGCAGAAACAGAAAGGAACTATATGAGTGGAGGTGCAGAAGGATACATATCAGATCTTGCATAGAAATAAACAGGTAGAGCTGGCCATCCTTGGGTTGTGCCCTCCACAAGGGTTTCTTTTTAATGGGTTTCTTGAAGAGATCATAAGAAAGTCATGACAGTTCCTTTCTTGCCAATCTGCCAAGGTTCCAGTGGATAAAAACGGATAACAATCCTTTGCGTGTGAAAGAGGAGAGAACAGAGGAGGAAAGGAAAGCTTATTATTTTATAATAGAACATTATCTCCAGTAAGTTCTCTCAACAACCCAGAAACACACCATTAAACATAGCTCTCAGTGGTCGGGACTTAAACGCTCTGACTGTAATAGGAGCAGGCTTTTTTATATGGGACAGTGCGTGAACGGGTTCTAAAGTCCTGTCCACACCCGCAAAAAGTTAAACTGTTAACTATCTATTTATCCAAGGTACTTATATGTAAATTCTCATTGCTGTATCTGAGCGCCTGCTGACCCCAAACACAGAGAAGAGCAAGCTGCACTGGGGCTTGCGCTGCTTATGTTAAATGGGGTTACTCCTGGTCAGAATAGAGTACGCCCCACCCAGTTCAGTCAGTGCAAAGTCCTGGATGTCCTTGGCTATCCTTGCAGCTCAAACAGTGCCAGCATTGGTGCAGCTACACAGAATGCTGAATTTAGAGCTATTCTTAGAAGTAGAAAATACCTTAGTCACATGGAAACCATAGGAATTCACTGCCTTTTCATTTCAGGCATCTGCCCTATTTATGTTTCTGTATTCCCCTTAGCTGTTTGAAAATAACCAGTGTATAACCACCATCCATGTCCACCAAGCTTTTGTTTACCAGCCTTACTGCCTAGGAGGCAAGACCTAGTAGCAGCAGGATTCCAGGGGCAGCCAGTTAGGCAACTGGCCTAGAACCTAGTTAATATTTCTCTCTTATTCTGTTGTATGACTTTTTAAAAAAAATTTCTGCTAGTCATAAATAATTCAATACAGACAATTTCTCCTCCATATAAACACAAAGGGAAAAATAAGACTTCACCTCTCCCCAGAGCTATGAAATACACATGGAGCGAGTTTTTCTCTCTCTGCTACTGTTGGAGTAATGGGAGAACAAGAGAGAAAGGGGCAGAGAAAAAAGATTGACAAATCCACCTGAAAGGCAAACTAACCCCTTTGCTACCACCTGGCACTGATGGGTGATGGTGGACATGTCTGGCCTTTAAATAAAAAAATAAATTTTATTTTTCCTGTACTAAATAAATTCTGACAGCCAAGACAGTAATTAGCCCTACTGAGGAGTTATTTGGATCAAGGATGACTAATGGTGTAGCAAGCTTTATGTGACATGGTGGGGATGTGGAGTCAGAGCTGCTAAGTACCAGAATAGGGGAACCCCCAATTCATCCAGCCCTAACAATGATGACATTCAATTGCCATCTCTCGTCTTTCTCTGGTTTCACTCCAATGCAGCTCTGCTTCTAAATCCTCTACTCTGAAATCCTTGCTCATGTGCCACCAGGCTCTCAGGGCATTTGGGGGTATCTCTGCTTTGACTACACCTGGGACTTCACCCCGCATTCTCACGATTAGGCTCAGCCTTAGAAAGCCAGGAGAGGAGCAAGAAGGAAGATGCCCAGTCTAACGAGTGCAGGAAATTACTGACAGGGCAGGGGGGGGGGAATCAGGAGGACTGGAGGAGAGAGACCCTCCTTGCCAAGGCCTCTTGTAAGCTTCCCCTATTTGTACTTAAACACAAACCTTGATTAGTGAAGCTCCACTGCACTGAGCTGGGTCTCACTGGGACGCTGTATGAAACTCCCCTCTACCTGTTGAATACACCTTCCTCCTACTCTCCCTGCACTGCACTCACCTGTCTGCACCGAGCCCCAGCTCCTTGGTAAGGAACTCAAAGAACTTGGCACTGTGCCCTCTGTTCTGCTCCGCAGTTCCCACCACTGCAATGGATGAGACGAACAGCTGAGCGCAGGGCGCTGCGGAGCCTCCAACCACCATGGACAAGTCGCTCTTCACCGTGACGTTTATCCTCTGCCATGCCGGGCACACCCAGGGAAACAGCCATGGGAGGGAAGGAAACACAGGACACAAGCCTCACAGATATGAGCAGTGTGTGTCATGAGGAGGCGCTGGTGCCCTGGGCCACTCACCCCATGCACCCCAGGGGAACCCTGCCTTGCCCTAGTCCAGGGGTTCTCAACCTTTTTCTTTCTGAGACACCTCCCCCCAACATGCTACAAAAACTCCACAGCCCACCTGTGCCACAATAACTTAGTTTTCTGCATAGAAAAGCCAGGGCCGGCACTAGGGGGTAGCAATCAGGGCAGCTGTCCGGGACCCCATGCTGCAGGGCCCGCCGCAAAGCTACATTGCCCAGGCTTCAACTTCAGGCCCAGGTGGCGGGGGAGCAGGGTCCCAGCCTTCAGCCCCATGCAGCAGGACTTTGGCTTTCTGCCCTGGGCCCCAGTGAGCCCAAGGCTGGCTCTACTTGGTGGCACCCCCGCAACCTGCTCACGGCCCCCACAGGGGGACCCCAGACCAGTGGTTCTGTCTTTCCTAGACCAGGACCCCCTCTCATCTAGCCCATACCCCGCAGGGGGTGCGGGGCCAGGGACAAGCTCCGCGCATCTGCCGCAGGCCCCGCTGCTCCCCCAGGGCAGGCCGGCAGCAAGGGCGCACGCAGCCAGCGCGGCCGGCTCAAAGGCCGCAGCATTGCGCACGCCGAGGCAGGAGACTCACCTCCTCGGGCTTGCTCAGGATAGCCGCAGCGGCCGCGCACAGCTTGCCGGCTAAGCCCTGGGGCAGCTGAGCGGCCGGGAGGCTGGTCTCCAGCTCCAGGAACGGCATGGCCGAGGCTAGCGCGGGCTGCTGGGTCACTCCCTGCGCGGCCGGCGCGGGCTGCAGAGCAGGGGGTGGGAGCGAGCGCCGGGGCTCGCGATTGGCTGCGTCTGGAGACACCCTCCTCTGCCTGTCTCGCCGCCCTGACCCCTTGGTCCCTGGGGACCATCCCTGAGCGGAGCAGGGGCAACCTGGCCCACCTTCGCTCCTCTCCCGGTGACTGGGGGTGGGGATGGGGGGGGGGGAGATTTGCTTTGGCCTTTTATGAACACCTTGCCACAGCCACGGATGTGCCAGCTGTCACGGTGATGCTGCCTAGTATGCAGGGCTGGTCCTGCCCAGACAGGACAGGAAAAGCAGTTCCCCGGCCTCCAAAGCTGGGTGTCCTGTTTACCAGATCCTACAATAAAACATAGTACAATGGATTTGGTGCCCTGATTTTTGTGAGATTTATTTCCACGTGGCAGAGAAATCTGATTCTGCTAGGGGAATTTTGGAGTCTGCCTTAGCATACGTGCAATGTGCCTCTAGTGGCATGTGACCAGGATTCATCACTGAATTTGGTCCGCTGGTTGGATCATTAGTTTTCCCAGCCTGGGCCAGGTACTGACCCGGAGCATGACGTGAACGCTGATCCATGCCCCCCAGGGAAAGGAGTAAGACAAAAGGAAACCCTCAATTCTTTTCATTTCCTGGGACACTGGCAGGCAAGGTATACAAACAGGCTATATGGATTGCTTATCAGGAAGGCAGTTCACCTGCTTCATGCAATTCCCTGATCAAGGGTGTCCTTAACAAAGCCACAAATGGAAATATGCCAGTGGAGTTTACCCTGGCTTTCATTTGTCTGCTGGAAACAAATGTTTATTTTTCGCACCCTGAATGCCCTGAGAAGGACAATAGAGGTGAGGGGATGGAAAGGCATAAAACACATACACACACTAATAACCTGAACACTGAAATGTAACAGTAAGTCTTGATGGGCAGCATGATCACCATGGCACGACTGATTTATCACACCCTACCAGCTAACAGAGTGCTTGTAATAATATGCATGTGACTGCGTGAATGCAACCTATTGTGATACTTAATTTCTCTTGTTTTGGCAGCCTTTTTCATATTGCTTTTCCTTCCCTAAAGACTGGGAAATTATTTCTACTCTTTGTTGGAAGATGGATAAAGGGGTTGATGGGCCTACAGCTGGCTGGGGCTCTCTGCCTTCCATGTGTTCATTGCTTCTTCTCACTTCAATATCTCGTCTTATTTAGATATTCCACATGGAGAAATGGGGTGAAGAAAATATTCTCCTTTTCACTAACAGCTGCTCCATGTGTGGTTGCTAAAATCCAAGAAGCCTGTTTTAGAGGTTACGTCTCCCATGTTACTGTCCAACTGATGTGGCTATTTATAATATATATTATCATACCCGACTCTTTATGCTGAAGTGGTAATTGTGATAATGGGTAACACTATCATTATAAAAAAGTTCAGCTACAAAATCTGAGACTGGCCCATGGTTTGAATTTTGTGATGGGGAGTTAATGATGTACAGCGTTTGAGTGGAAAAACCTCAGTAAAAATGGACACTTCCATTTTCCAGAAGATTAGGGCATTTAACAACAAAACAAAACCCACTAACCCTAACTGGAGCTTCTTAAGGAAGGAAAGTGTGTATGTAGGAGAAGGGAACAAAGCTCTGCTTTAAGTTGACTGCATTTCAAACCCAGATCTTCTAAAAGCAAAGATAATGAAACACTCAAAGACAGAAGACTGCTGCATTTTTATTTTGAACGTATACTTTGCAATATTCTGAAGACGCACACTGGCAGCTGATGAATCTGAGAGGTAAATGTCTGATATAGTCTAAACAGATTCAGAAAATATCGGTACATAAAATACACAACTCCTGCGCTGAGCTGTCTAGGAAGCACAAGCAGTGACATTACTGTGAATGCCAGAGTTACTTGTCTGGCTGAAAGACTGTTCTATCCGTGTGAATAAGCTACAGTAAATGCTTGTTTCTATTTTTAATTTCTATTTTATAGCAGTAACAACATATCAGACAGTGCATTTCCAAGACTTGCACAAAAGATTTGGCACTTCCCATGATAGAAGACACCTGATGGCTGGTATTCTGGGCATGCAACTGCACAGAAAGTGCACTGCTTTGGGTGTCCAATGGCATCATTATTTCTAGCAATATTTTAAGAGCACAAAATCCTGGATTGATGGGGCACAGGAGGTTAGAACAGAAAATTCCCCAAGGGATGAGTCACTTCTCTGTGAAGAGTGGCACTGGCAATTACAGGATGACGAGAGGAAAATAAGAACGTGTGATGCCCAAAGAAGCTAAAATGTCCCAGAGATTAGTAAGCTTTCACAGAGAGAAATCCAGAGCATGTGTGTGGAAAGGGGTTGAAGACTCTCTGCTAGAAGTCTGCATTCTTTTTGAGTTTTTCAAAATTGTCAAGGAGCAGAGAAGCTGACAGTCAGCATGAGGATATTTAAGAGGACTGCGACGAGGAAGCCCTGTGAGAGATAGTAATGGGTGAATTTCCTGGGGACCACACACTGTCTCCTTCAAGCGACAAAAAGGCAATGGTTAAGGGAAAAAAGTTCTAATTTTAAAGTGCCCTTCAGTGGTTCACTGTTAGAGGATAAAGACAGAACATGCGGAAAAGTTCCACTACTCAAGTGAAACCTGTGGAAAGTTCTTTCTTCTTGGCACAGGGTAACTGCACATAACAGGGGAATTTGGGGGTTGGATTTAGAAATACATTCAGAAAAGTCTAGCAGTGAGGGAATACTTCACATTTCCTCCTACTTCAGCATCTTCAGCAGCAGAGGTTTCATTTCCTTCTTCATCTGTGGGTCAATCTGGACTTTCCTCAAATCCTGTGCATTCAGAATCCATTCATGCACTTCTTGGAAGAGCTCCTTCCCCACAGCTTCCTCCACCTGGCTGCGCCATGCCACCAATTTGGGTCAGCACTCAAAGATGTTGCAACCAGCACCTACGGACTTTAAAGAGAGAAAGACACAACATCCAAACATGGTGAAAAGGAGAGGGATTCATTTCAAGTAACTGTGCACAGCAGAATCCTGCCCTGGATTACCATGTATCTGCCACAAGTAGGAAGACAATTTGCTGACTAGTGTCAGTGTCATCCTCAATCTGCTCCAGCACCTAAATGTCTGAGCCTGACTTGAAGGGTGAGGTACATCCTCATTGCAATTCACGTGGTGCTTATTGCAAAACCTCAGCCACTAGAGGTTAAGTCAGGAGATAATGAGCCAATTTCTCCAGCAGCATAATACCATTGAAGCTAATGAAGTTACATCAGCAGAGAGTTTGGCTTAATAGCTGTAACAGTTCTCACATGCACTAAGGCATGATCAATGAGAGAACACAAAATCATCATTTAAGATCAGAATTGCAGCATCAGCAGTTTTTCTTGCCCTCTCAAAAGTTTATCTGCAGGGTGACCCGCTCTTTGGAGGGAGGCAGTGCTGCCCCGTAAAGCATCTGGAGGAGAGGTGGAAAGTGCTGTAACACAGTGCTCCAGGCAAGTGATGGATTCATATGGGAGCCACTTCATTTTACATGCTGTATTTTGTGAAGTCACTGATTGGTATTTTGCAGACTGAGAGCAGGGAAATTACTTGGGGAGGAAGCCTGCCCCCCCTTGGGCTGGGCTCTTTATTTTAATCTAAACATCAGTTCCCCGTTGCTCCTCATTTATCCTTCCTAGGATTTGAATTCTTCACAAGAAGGATAGAAAACTGTAATGAGGAGGGAATGACATGAATGAAAACATAGGATTTGGGGGCAGGGCAGAGTTACACTGGATCAGACTCTTCTATAGCATCTGCCATCTTTGTGAGGTAGCTGAATCCTGCTTCCCTTCTCAGTCATGTGGTGCTGCATCAACCCCCCCTTCCCATCTCCAGGGAAACTGCAGCAGCACCACATGCTGGTCTTCAGGCAGTATAGACAACACCAGTTTTTCATGATGCTGAAAATTCACTAACAACACTCCTACACTCACCTGCATGAGCTCTGTGATAGCCACCAGGTCTGCCAGAGAAATCTCGCTGCCCACAATGAAGGGCTTGTCCTGCAGGAACTTCTCTGTGAACTTTTTCAGGGAATTATTCAGCTCATCCAAAGCCTCCTGCAGCTTCTGTAAAGGTATTGGCTTTCCTGTGAATAGGGGAATCACCATCTGCATGAGGAGGAGGGAATAGGATTAGCTTCCATACACATGCAATGAAATTTAGTCATCACCAAATGGGGAACTGCACAGTTTGCTCCATAGATTTACAGGAGAGCTAATCTGGAACCTAGCTGTATGAATCCTCTATTTCTCTGTACCTCTAAGTATCAGCAATCAGAATGAGACTTAATGGGATCCTCCAAACAGCTGGATGTTGTTCTGTTGCATTTCTGAGAATAATCTGTGGATCTCAGATATCCTTACATCAAATGCTGGCAGCATATGCATCAGGTTTCATAGTCCACTTCTCGTACTGTCTTTTGCTCCTACTTAGTAGGTGAAGTAACCTTTTAATTTAAGTGGAGTGCTAGGATCCCTACAAGTTTGGTTTCATTAATTTACCCTCTAAGAGGAGACCTACCAAATCTCCCAAAGACTCTTGGCTTTCCTGCATGATCTTGCTGTTCTCCATGAGACCACTAGAGGGAGAAAAGAGCCAGGTGCATGTAGTTTACCACATGGCATCATCATTATAATTTGTTTCAGAGTGGTGGCCGTGTTAGTCTGTATCAGCAAAAATACCGAGGAGTATTTGTGGCACCTTAGAGACTAACAAATTTGTTTGTCTCTAAGGTGCCACAAGCACTCCTCGGTTTTTTATTATAATTTGTATTATCATAGCACCATGTAAGTGATTTGTATGTGTATGTATATTGTATATACACATATTAAATATGGATTTCTGTATGTTCACCAATTGGCTGGTTATGGTCACAAGACATATGGACAACCACCCCCAAAATGCAGCTATTTAACCTCACACAGGCGCTTAAAAATGTGGGAGCACTTAAAAAAAATAAAGACGTTAAATGCCCCTCATGGCTCTGTATGGAACTCAGGAGTGCTGCTAATACTCAAACTAACTAC